GTACCCATTAGGTATTTTTTATGAAACACCTTGACTGGCCAAGGGAAGGCATCAGGCAGATCATCACAACTTCAGCAGAGCAGCATTCCCACGACTGAGCAGAAGTGAAGGAGAAGAAAAGACTGTTCCTTGGTTTCACAGCTTCAGCCCCAGAAAGAAAGGCTCAAATCTGTTAAAGGCAGTTGCTCACAGCCGAAGCTTTGTGGAGCTGCCAGAACTTGACTCAGTCCTGTGCAGCCACGGGGCTGCGCTTCCAGAGGACTTGGCAGGCACGTGGATTGCCCTTGAATTTGAAATCCAAGACCTTGTGCTCCAGCCAGCATTGTGCCATCCAGATTAATGCATTAAGCACACTGGGCAGCTTCTACGACATGCTAGCTTGCTCCATTTGCAGGCCACACACACAAGCAAATCTAAAAGAACTCATCAGGAGGCCATTTAGCAGTGCCTCACATACCAGATGCAGCTAATGAGCCACCTGACCAACAGCTAGATGCCATTAACAATCTATATGAAAAGGTAGGACAAGAACTTTAGATCTCTGTGAGAACATTCGATTTATAATAGCACCTCTTAAGTCTTATCTTGTTAGTATGTTTTGTATAGTTCCAGAAACCTGATTTTAGTATTTCAGAGGCTGTTCTCCCCGTCCCCCCGAAGTCATTAGAGAGAATCAAAGTCCCAGTTATACTGTCTCAGAGAGTGATGGGCTGCATGGGCGAGCTATTAATTTTTCCAAGCATAACTTCAGTATGTCAGATTTTCAGGTGTTCCCCTTAGATTGAAGGGATGCACTTAAGCATCGGTTCTTTCTATACACAGATAAAGTGACAGATCAACACTCAAACCTGTTCTGGTACATTGTTTCATCATCATGAACAAACTCAGCAGAGACGCAGAAAAAACTCCAGCGGTTCTTGAAAGGAGCATATTATTAGTTGACCCTGACTATTGCATATCCTGGCAGTAGGCCAACTGCATCTGATGCAGAGCTTTGCCTTTCTGCCACATTCTTTTGTTCCAGTTCCTCCAGCTTCTTCATCAGCAATTCTATGCGAACGTGGACCTCCACAAGCTTTTCTTTCAGCTAGAAAAAGAAATAAGAGTATTATAACTAGAGAAAAATGTCCTAACACTGGATCTTTGAGTGATCTGCACCACTTTCAGTGGCTAAAGAGCAGCTAACTTTCAAGATGGGAAATTATACTGGGCTTCAATCTCTATGCGCGTACCTAGTACAGGCAAAACTGGCACCCAAAACAGAGGCCTGCGTTACACAGAGGAGGTAGATGAATGTGTGCCAGCATAACCCCTTTCAGAGATGTATGGGAATAATCTGCTTAAGGAGACAGAGTTGCTGGAGCCTTACTATGATCAGTCCAGTCTTTCCTAGTTAACTCATTGCAAGTTTTCACACAGCCAGAGACCTTCTTTGACAATATCTGGACAGACTGTTTAATCATTAGCTTAGGAATACACATGGACAGTCCCTCAAAAATGTCATTTCCAGAGTCTGGGGTTTAAGTTAACACGTCTAAAGCACAAGAGTAAAATCCTGCTGACATTATGTCCCAAAAAGCAAAGACCACATTCACGCACTCGTTCTAGTCAACAAGGAGACTCTCCACAGTCACATAATTTGTGTTTGCAATGAAGCGCTACCATTTTTTTACTTCAGAAAAACGTGTCTCAACTTTAGAAGTCTTGCCTGGATAAGATTTTTGCATTTTAGCCTCACTTGACCTACAAAAACACTCTGATCTTATAGTAAGACACTGGAAGATGACTTTAAGGAGGACAAAACTTAAGAAATGTCACGGGCCCATTTCCATGCTTAGAACAGAAACTAAAAAAAGAAAAAAAAAGTAAGGAACAAGTAAGCACATAAATACTGGATACACTGGCTGTCTCCTACACACAGTAACTTTATGAGCTATACGACAGACAATTTACTAAGTTAACAACTAACCAAATCACAGAAAAGAACATCCAATTTAAACACCAAAAAAGCAGGGAGGTTCTAGTGTTGTCTCTGAAACTACAAGTAAATATTGCCATGCTGTTTTAAGCTTACATAGCCATAAATACAACTGTGCTAGAATCCCTTTCAAATTAACAAATTGCTATTTTTTTGAATTCTTCAACAGTGACTTATTAATTCTAGGGACAACACAAGTAGTAATACTTAGGCAAAGTCTGTCTAAGCGATTCTTGTTTTTTTTTTTTCTTTTCAACATGTGGATATAAAAGGATAACAGACTTTTGCCAGAAAAGTAGCTAGAACTGGATATGTTTTGCAGATAGGTGGTTCTAGAAAATGTTTTGCATGTCTCACGCATTTAAGTCAGTCACTGTATTTATTATAAGTCAGTATTTTCTCCATCTTATGCACCTAAAAAAAAAGTAATTGTATCAATATTTTTGGACTAATATCCAAAAGTATCAGCATTTTAAAAATATTTTCCATACAAATTAATGTAGAAACCTTACTTCCCGCAGTTGTTCCTTTAAGGTCACAGCAGGAAAATTCACCTTAGAAGCTTCTATTATCATTTGGTTTTTTAAGACATAACTGGAAAACAAAAGGAGAAAGGGAAAAAACCCCAAGAAAAACAGTTAAAAACCCCATGGTTGCATTCTATTTAAGATTTTAAAGCAGATACAAAGTTGTTGCCAGAAGCAGTCAATACATTATGAAAAAATTGAAAACATAACAATGGTTTTACTTTGAAATCATAAGATCCTCTCACCACCAGCTATAAGTAATTTACAGTTTCTATAGTCAAGTCCTCAATCTATCATAGAACTATTTTGACACCTGACATTAGCTAAGCGAATCTGGAACCGAAGGAGATTTCAGTATTGCAAACAACTAAATTTAAACCTCGACATTACATGAGGACACTGAAAAAGTGCAAGGCAAATCAAATGGGGTCACAGCAACACAAACAATTTAAACACAGAGGATATTTAAATCCCACTCCAATGCGCTCAGTCAAAAGTAAAGCTGCTTTTGTTAGCTGTAGGTTAGTTGTACACCCTGTTGTAATAACTTACGAATTCCCGTGAAGCCACTGACCATAAGAATACAGTATACTCACCAGAGGATGCTGTCCTTGAAGAAACAGAAGAAGCCTCGGAGATACGCCAGGTCACTGGAGGCAGAATAAAGAATGAAGCCCACGATCAAGCCACACGACCGACAGGATAATGCGTTGTAAGCACTAAAAGGAGAAAGGGAAAAGTATTATTAAACAGAAGCTTCTGAAACCATAGATACTGCATACTTGTCAGAGGACATCAAATCTTCAGTTCTATCAGGACAGCAAAACAAGACATAATAATGCTTTCTCCTTAAAGAAACAATACATACAAAGAGAACATGAACATAGAGAGTTGAGCATGTTGTCCAAGAAATAATCTCTGTAATAAGTGAAGTTGCAATTAAGGAAGAAAATACACATCTTATTATCACAGAGTGGCTTAGGCTATACTACTCGAACATGATTTAACTGGTGAAACAATGCCTGTGCCAGGTCATAGATGTGGAATTTCCTCCTGATGAAACAGATTATTGCCTCATGCAGAGAGGGAAAAAAAAAGGCAAATAAAAACCCAACCAAGTCTTATATTTAAAAAGTTCCCAGCCCTTATAGTTTGTAAAATAGCCTTTGAATATCATTTAAACAAACTACTGTTCTGTAAGTCCTCAGGTGATATTTACATTCTTCCCATCAGACTAACCCGAGTTACCAAACCTGTTGCTAACTGTATGCTTGTGAATAGAGCAGCAGAAGTTGCTAATTTTCAATATAAAAAAAAATAAATCCCAAAACCCCAAACAGAGATGCGTTAATTTAGGTAACAGACCTTTTAGGGAAGGAGCAGAAGAAAGAGACCTAAGGGCTAGGCTGCCTTTTACTGCATCGCTCAAATGTTCCTCTCCACCAACAAAGGTTAGAGCGGCATAACTTTTGATTTTGACAAAAATGAAAGCTACATACCTACAAAAGGTTTCTCCATCCGAAACGATGAAGCACGAGTACAAAAAGCACTTCGGAGTTTACCAAGCCCCTAAGAAACCCCAGCGCACAAGCCAGAGGGGCTCCTGGCTCCCGGCTTTGCAGAAGCCTCTTTTTGCCCACGCAATTTACCGTGGCGACTGTTCCCGGCAGGCCCGATGCCAAAAGCAAGGACTAGGTGAGCTACGCACCATCCCAGCAGGGCTCCCTCGAGGCCGATCATGAGCGAATCCTCCCAGGCCACGTCGTTCGTGACTTCTGAGGAGGAAGGGAGACCCGCTGAACACCAGACCCCCGGACCAGCCCCACCCCGGGCGTCCCCGACGGGCCCGAGGCACCCACCCCGCCGCCTCAGGACACCCAACGCGAAGCCGAGCCCAGACCCCCAGGGGCCGGGGGA